TAATCGATGTCACTGAATTGTACATGTAGAAACTTTTGAAATGGTATAACTTTGGCTGCGTATATTTTCACCAAAATAAGGTCCTCAGAGGTCGAGAAGGGAGAGTGTTGACATGTCGTGGGGTTGTTAACCAGTGTCATAAAACAATATGCGTACTGACTGTTTAATGAGAAACTATTTGTTCTGTAAACCTTCATCTAAAGTACAATTAAAAAAAAAGGTTAGAAAATAAATATGTAGGGAGTAAGTGGCAATGGCAACAACACTGTTGACACAGACCTTTAGAGTTGGAAGGAATCTTTTAAATCATTTAATTAATACAGTCTCCCTTCCTGTTTTGTCTGTCGTGTTCTTGATAAGGGCACATTACAGTTATGTTCCTTGAACACTGTCAGTGCTTCTTTCAGTTGCATCTTGAATGTAGTAAGTTTCTAGGTCCTTCACATTCTGATCATTCTCTGAAGTGCTTAAGAGACCTGGAATAAATTGAGATGTTTACCTTCTTTGGTGTGAGGACTGTGTTTGTGTTAATGCTTGATAGGATTGCATTCATGTCTAAGCAATTGTCGGTGCTGGTGTGTATCGAGCTTGTAGTCCGCTAAAACCTCAAAGATTAATTGTAATCTAAGGATTACAATTTATGCAGATGAAGCTATTTTGCCTTTAGCTTTCCCTTGGCTAGTGATTATTCTCCAGCAAGCTATCACAGATTTTTTAGTTTATTAAAATTTCTGGCAGATGTAACTATCATGGTTAGCAGCTGTTGCTTCCTATGTCAGGTTGGCAAGTATGTTATAAACATATATGAGAAGAGAAACTTTTATTGAGTATGTATCCTGTTTAAAAAAAAAGAAAAACCCGTTGCCATGGAGTCAAGTCCGAGTCATATCAACCCTTAAGTACATTATAACATATGTTTTATGTTATGTAATGTATATAAAACATCCAGCAGGGGATTATAGGGTAGTAGTTAACAACATGGCCTCTGGAGTCGAGCTTCTCAATTTGAATTATAACCCTGCCATTTACCAGCTGTGTGACCTTTGATAAATTCCTTAACCTCTACTTGCCTCAGTTTCCTCATCTGTAAAACTGTAAATAATAATTTCACCTCTCTTAAAAAGAATTTGAGTATTCGAGACAATATTAATATATGCAAAGCACTTACAATGGTGCGGGCACATAGAGGTGAATATGTATTAGCTGTTATCTCATTCAGTCCTCAAAATAACAGGGTTAATAATATAATTACAATGTTACAGCTGTGAAACTGTAATCCAGAAAGTTCAGGCTACTTATTTAAGGCAGATCTAGGAATTGAACTTGTGCCATCAGGAATAGCAGAGTGGTGGGTCTGTATGTGGAAGGAATCACACTTAATATTTTCCTCTAAAAAGGACTATGGGTGTGACAGATGCTTAGACTGCTCTCCAGGATGCCTCGGTTGTGGCTCTAATGAGACAAGGGCACATGTTCATTTTAAATACATTGATGAAGAAACAGTGACACAGCAGTTTGTTTCCCACCTAAACTGAGAGCTCCTTGAAGCAGAAACTCTGTCTTTGTAGCGCTTTGCTCTGGTACCTAGTATGTACTCACTAATGTTGTTGGTGAATAAGTGAATGAATGAATAAGTGAAAATATGGAGAGGAGGTGAGAGCTACTAAGGGGATCAGAAATGATGCCAGGATTTTTGGCTCAGTGACCGCTCTTTTAACTGGTAGGAAATATAGGAAGACAGGAAGGGAAGATGCCGAGTTTGATTTAGACAGACTGAATGTTATCCTACTAGAGAGATTTAATGAACCAAAAGACAAGTCCATTGCTGTTGAGTCATTTCCGACTCATGGCGACCCTATAGGAGAGAGTAGAAGTGCCCCATTGGGTTTCCAAGGCTGTAATCTTTAAGGAAGCTGACTGCCACATCGTTCTCTTGTGGAGCAGCGGGTGGATTCAAACTGACAACCTTTCAATTGGCAGCCGAGCGTTTAACCACGGTGCAACCAGGGCTTCTCAGAGAGATGTAATAGACAAATAGAAATAAGGACAGAGATCAGAGTTGGAAATACAGTGGAAACTTCTCTTAAATTTGAAAGCTAATAATTATCCCTAGAATCACAATTGTATAATTTCAAGAAGTGAGTTTTCCCAAGAAATGGTAAGTCACATTGCAAATGATGTTGTATAATTATGTTTTAGACTTTTTTTCTTATTCTGTCAGCATTATGTGGTGGGAAACAGTCTAATTTTATAGTAGAGAAGTAAGGAATTGCAGGGAGTTTAGAATTAAGCCATGAACACAAATGACACCTCACTGTAAAGCTTATTGTCTTAGTCATCCAGTGCTGCTACAACAGAAATACCACAAGTGGATGGCTTTAACAAAGAGAAATTTATTTCCTCACAGTAAAGTAGGCTAAAAGTCCAAATTCAGGGTGTCAGCCCCAGGGCAAGGCTTTCTCTCTCTGTCTCTGTCTCTCTCTGTCTCTCTGTCTCTTTATCTCTCTGTCTCTCTGTCTCTCTCTCTCTCTGCCTTCTCATCAGTGTTCCCCCGGACTAGGAGCTTCTCAGCGCAGGGACCCCAGTCCAAAGGACGCGCTCTGCTCCTGGCACTGCTTTCTTGATGGTATGAGGCCGCCTGTCTCACTGCTCACTTCTGTCTTTTATATCTCAAGAGATTGCCTCAGGACACAATCCAGTGTTGTAGATCAGGTGGGGCCTTACTAACACAACTGCCACCCATCCTCCCTCATTAACATCACAGAGGCAGGTTTACAACATACAGGAAAATCACACAGAACCCGGAATCATGGCCTAGCCAAATTGATACACACATTTTTGGGGGGACATAATTCAAACCATGACACTTATTTTGGTCAATATTGTAAGTACCTTTGGAGAATTAAAGTGAAAAATTCTTAGGCAGATAAAATAGAAAGCTCGACTTATTTATGGTAGGAGTCACATCACACCAGGAGTAATTACGTTGTAAATAAACCAAATGTTTTATTTAGGAGTGCATAGTTTATGCTGAGATCAGTACAATCAAAATGCCTGAACCAATTGGATGGAGGGGTTGAGGGGATCAGAATTGTACTCACCTTAATACAAAGTAAGTTTCCTGGGCTGTACAAACGGTTTGCGCTTGACTGCTAACCCAAGGCTGGCAGTTTGAACCCTCACAGCAGTGTCGAAGAAAGGCCTGGTGATCTGCTTTCATAAAAGATTAATCAAAACCAAAAACCAAACCCTTTGCCTTCAAGTCAGTTCAGACTCATAGTGACCATATAGGAAAAAGCAGAACTGCCTCATAGGATTTCTGAGCAACAACTGGGGGACTCGAACTGCTGGCCTTTTGGTTAGCAGCCGAGCTATTAACCACCTCACCAGCAAGGCTCCTTGTAAAAGATTACACCCAAGAAAACCCTACTCTGTAACACATGGGGTTACCGTGAGTCAAAATTGACTTGATGACAGTAGGTTTGGTTTGGTTTTGATACAAACTAGCCTTTTTTTTCTGTTATCTATTTAACTGTTTTACTTTGAGGCCATTAAGAATTGTCTATATTAATAATTGGCAAAATCGTAGAGGTTACAATTCACCTCATCCATATTAAAAACTCAATTTTATCTTAAGTTACATTTGCAATGTTTTAGGAAAGTAATTTGTGCCACATAATTTTATTTAAGATACGTTTCTATTTATTTTTGCTCTAATGACTCTACGTTTAAATATGTGTGATTTTTCTACATAGACTTTGTTTTCTTTTTATAGACCAAGTTGTTTATTAGATTCAAGCTATTTTTGTCACATCTACTAGGATTTGTTTTTTTTTTTTAATTTGTTTTTACATCTACTAGGATTTGAAACAATATTGATGAATAACAGTGTTTCAAACTCAACTTTTCCTGTTTTATTGTTAATATTTAAGAAAATTTTCATGAGGGTAATAAAATAACCTAATTACCTTTAGAGCAGCCTGAACAGATGATTGAATTACTGTTTTAGATATGATTAATCTGAGATCAAAGAGCCCTGGTGGTGTAACAGTTAAGGTTCAGCTGCTAACTGAAAGATTGGCGGTTCGAACCCACGCAGAGATACCACGGAAGAAAGGCCTTGCAATCTCCTTCCACTAAGATTACAGCCCAAAAAACTGTTTGGCATAGGGTCACCATTAGTCAGAACTGATTCAGTGGCAACAGGTTTGTTTTTTGTTTTTAACACTAATGTCAGGAGAGGTTGCAACCTATTAATGAATTCTTTACATTATATCAGATGTTTCAAATTCTGGTCAATACTATCTGCTTTTTATCAGCTTTTGAATTGCACTGCCTTTTTTATTCTTCATACAAGGATAGCTTTAATCTTTAAAAGTGTATTTAAAAGTATATTTGGACTTTTTTTTCTTAGTTTTCCAAAACTTTCCAAAATTCTGTTACGTTTATTGCTTTTTAAATATTTTTATCTTTTAGGAATCAGGAGAAAGCAGTAAAGTTGGAGCCATTGTCAAGTGATTGCGGCCTCTTATAAGAAAATCTCATTGACTAAAGGTCATTTCAATTAGTGAAATAACAGGACCAGTTATTAAAGGTGACTGCAGGAAACATTAAAAATTGAACCATGACTCCGCTGTATATTTATATCAGATTATTGGGAGCCTATCTGTTCATCATTTTTCATGTTCAAGGTAAATTGATGTTCGTTCAAGCAATCTAATCATCTTTGTTAGTAATTTACTTCTGCATATAAAAATTACTCATTCTTGCAACTGCTGTTTTAACCCATGTCCCTTTTTGAACAGTTTTGAACGGCATAGCTTTTAAGAGGCAAAAAGCAAAACATGCAAATTATTTTTGAATTTGACTGTGATTAGAAACGTTTTCAAGTATTTGTGTAAAGTTCCAGCTTCTCTGAACCTGTATTCTTATATGTAACATAGGCCTTATGGTACGCAACATCAACTAATTGTGAGCATTAAATAAGATAAAGTACGTAGCGTAATAGCTAAGACACAGGGTGATAAGTACTCAATAATGGTGCATTTTTAAATTTCTGTCTCCTTTAAAATACGGTAAGGGATAAGTATAAATAGTAATCATTTTATTGCCTCTAAAAGACTTTAAAAAGATAAATGACCCTTGTATATTCTGAATACTAAAATTTCCTCACAGAGTACTAGAAGTTTTATTTATAATCAGTATTATAATTTTACTGTTGTGTGTTCACAGGAAGTTGTGTGTTCAACAGGAAGTTGTTGTAATGACTCTTAGGATCAGATAGACTGTGTTTTGCACATGAGCTGTTTCCTGTATGGGTTAATTAGGATAGTATTTTAAACTGAAAAGATAGTACTGTTTTACAAAATGACTTTAAATAGAACTTATTGGATATCTTTAATTTTTTAAGCATATGACATCACAGGTTGCTCTTTTCATGTTTTGTTCACAGTGATGTGAATTAATATCTACCTACAAGAAGAAACAAGATTAGCAACTAAATCTTCTGACATTTCATTTTGAAGCACAAAAATATAATGAAATCTGTAGCTTCTTCGTATTTTGCCATAGCTATCATAATACCCGTATTATTATCATGCTCAGCATACAGAGCTGTCTTGCAAAAGCCACTTTTGTTTGTTTAATACAGCGTCTTTATTTTAACATCCAATGTAATATGCTTTGTTTATATGAGGAGTTAAATTAGTAGTAATGTTTATCTTTGCTACCTAACTCCGTTTTGGCATTAATCTTTATTTAAATCTATATAAGTCCTAAGAGTCAGTCTGATAGAAAATCCTCATCCCCCACCCCGATTCAAGTTGTTCTATAACAGATTCTCCTTAGATGTAATAAATTGGTGATTGGTTATAGATATAAGTGAAAAATCTTAAAAAGAACTCAGTTTCTCTCATGTGGAGCTAATTTTTTTATATTTCCTTTCAAACATTAGTTTGACAATTGCTTCAAACAATGGTAAGATACTTGCTCTTAAAGAAAAGAAAGAACTAAAACCAATGTAGAAAAAGTGTTGTTTTTTAGATATCACTAAGAAGGATTACAGAGTAGAAATAACTTCTGACCTTAGCTATAGCGTTATCTTGAATCATGTCTTGGGAAAGTAAATTTCTCTGTACTTTGGTTTTCTTGTCATAAAATAGAAATGATAACACTTACCTTGTGACAATAACAGGAATTTTGTGAGCATCAAATGTGATGAAATAGATTTAAGTGGTTTACGTTGAGATAAAGTTACTCAAGTTTGAAAATAAAAATGAGTCGTCTGATACTAACATCTGGTGGACATTTAGACCTCTTTTTGGCTCGGTCACGAATTTTAGAAATGAATTTTAGCTTTATGTAACTGATTACTCAACCAACAATGACTGAAACAAATAGAGATTTATTTTTAACATAAGTAGTAGGTGGTTGCTGACTTTTATTCAGTAGTGTGATGGTTGACATCTCTGTAATTTTCTTGGCTTTTCCCTGTGGTTAGAAATGGCTGCTATTATCTGCATTCAAGGTAAGAAAAATAGGGAACCACCCACAAGTGGATCTTATATCATGAAACCATCTCCTCTGCCAGCAGATTTCATCTTCTGTCTTATTAACCAAACTTGGATAGTTTGTCACACCTAATTGCAAGGGAAACTGGGAAACAGGATTGTCCTGATTGCCTTAGATTAACCTATATCCATTGCCCAGTGCTGGATAAAAAGTTGGGATGTGTTTTGGAGGTTGAGTCAAAGCAGCACTCAAGTGGTACTGTTGACCAGGATGGGGAATGCTTGGGATAATTAGGTTTGAGGAGAAAAGTTCCATTTTGGGCAGTTTTGAGATACTAAGCAAGTCAGCAAGGAGCCCTGATGTCACAACAGTTAAGTACATGGTTGCTAACCAAAAGGTTATTGGCTCTGCGGGAGAAAGACCTGGCAGTCAGCTCCTGTAAAGATTACAGCCTAGAAAACTCTGTGGGGCAGTTCTGCCCTGTCACATGGAGTTGCTATGAGTCAAAATCAACTTGATGGCCCCTAACAACAAGCAAGTCAATGCTGGAGCAATAAATCTAGGAACCATCAACAAAGAGATAGTGTTTAAAGCCATGGGAATGGATGCTGTCACCTAGGCTGAGAGTGCAAAGAGGCTCTTGCTGTCTCTGTTTCATTTTATCCATTCCTCTGTTTATTGAAATCTTACAGTTTTTAAAATGTAGCTAGGATTTCTTTGTTTTTGACACCCCAGGCTGAATTTGTTACTGACTGCTTTTTCTGTTTACGTAATACCTTTGTATCATATCACTTTTCACATTGTATTGTATTTATTTGTTTATGTGCTTATTCCTCCTCTTTGCCACCTACCAGGTTTCTCAAGGACTGCATCAGTTTCAACACATCTTTGTATTTCCAGCATTTAGTACCTTGCCTGCACATAAAAAGCCTTTAATTAGTATTTTATTGAAAAATATTTGAGATGATAAACACCAGATGAAATCATTATAATTGAGATTTTTATCTCAAATTCTCAATAGTATTCTAGGAAGTTATGTGTTTTTACCATCCTATAACTTTGAATTTTCCAGGTATCAGTGATCTTTTAGTATGATTGTTATTAGTAATATCTTCATTTGTACAGGATTTTATATTTAATAAAGCATGTTATTACACATTCATTTGATCTACACTGTCTTCTAATTTTAGTTGAGCAGGTGTTATTATCACTATTTTTTATAGATAGATTTAGATTCAGAGAGTAACTTACCTATGGCCATAACTGGGACTTGAATCCTTCCTTGGCTTCTTGCTGTTATTTCTGTGTTAACTCTCCTGCTCTATACTGCTTTTTCTACATATCATTAGATTTTTAAGAATCAATTGCATGTGATATGTACCTACTCCTCACTTACCAATATGGTTAGGTTCCAAAGACAGGTTATTATGCAAATTTGGTGTTATGTGTAAGTGGAGGATTTTTTTTCTGTTTTCAGAACATCCATTTGTCCAATTTTTTAAATTAGAAAATATGATCACAGAAATAATAACAGCTAAGATTTACTGATGTGCTCGTCATTGTGACGAGAACAGTTGTGGATTATTCCTCTGCAGAGGGGGCTTGGAGGAGACAAAGCTGGATAGAGCCGGGCTATGTGACTTTAGGGCCCATGGCTTAACCACTTCACCTTCCTTCTGTGATGGATCAGAGCTTCCCTGGCAGAACCACCTCCAGGGCTCCACTCCCACTGCTGCAAGGCCTGTATTCACAATCCTGGAGCCTGCTCTGCCCTCCAGGCCTGGCGAGTCACTAAGGCTTGGGCTTCCTGCTAGGGTGCTGGGAGCCTGGCCGCACACCCAGCCCCACCAGGGCAGAGGCTTCAGGCCCAGTTCGGCTCACTTTGGGATGTTATTAAACTTGCACACATTTCTTCCTTCCACCCTCTCCGATGCCTCTTTCTTTCCTCCCTTCCCATCCCACAGCAATTTTGAGCTGCAGGGCCTTGGGCAGAGGCCATTATCAGGAGGCCAGACCTGTGCAGCAGCTGGACCAGCAGGAGGGCACAGGGCACAGGGCATCCCAGCTTCCCAGAGGCTGCCCGGAGACCTTCCTCGAGGGAGGAGGGGATACTCCACAGCTGTTGCTGCCACACGCGCCACCTTGTTAATGCACAAAATAGTCTGATGGTAGATTTTTTTTTATTGTTGTAAATGCGAAGTGTCGGATAACAAGATAGTAAGTGAGGAGTAGTATTTTTTGTCGTTCGTTCTCCACAGTTAAAGCGGATTTTAAAGCTGGTTAAGAGACCACAGACATCCTCTAGTCCTATGCCCTTCTTGAGGAAATGAGGCCTGAGAGGTGACAAGGCTTGCCCAGGATCATCCAGCTAGCTAAACTGGGGTAGAACCAGAATAGGCCAGAACTCAGGTGTCTTAGTTATCTAGTGCTGCTATAACAGAAATAACACAAGTGGATGGCTTTAACAAACAGAAGTTTATTCTTTCACAGTCTAGTAAGCTAGAAGTCTAAATTCAGAGCATCAGCTCCATGGGTAGGCTTTCTCTCTCTGTCATCTCTAGAGGAAGCTCCTTGTCATCAGTCTTCCCCTGGTCTAGGAACTTCTCAGTGCAGGGACTGAGGGCTCAAAGGACACGCTCCCCTCCTGGTTCTTCAGTCTTGGTGGCATGCGATCCCTCTGCTTGATTCTCTCTTATATCTCAAAAAGAGATTGACTCGGGATACAACCTAATCTTGTAAACTGAGTCCTGCTCATTAACATTACTACCTCTAATCCTGTCTCATTAACATCATAGAGGTAGGAAGATCATATCAGATGACAAAATGGTGGACAATCACACAACACTGGGAGTCATGGCCTAGCCAAGTTGACAGATATTTTGGGGGGACACAGTTCAATCCATGGCACCAGGTCTCCTCATTTCTGGCCCAGAGGATTTCTTTCCTTTCTGGATTTTTCTCCCTCTGTCTTTTATATAGTTTGCTTTTTCTAATCACTGATTCTTAAAATAAATGAGGTCTTTAATTATTGTAGCAGTTAGGAGGATTAATAAAGTTTTGCCATTATGTTACAGTATTTATTTCTAAAAAGGGTATGGTGAGGGAGATGAGTATTATCGCATCCAGTATTTGTTTCTGTTAGTAAATAAATTCAGTAGCGAATCCCTTTACTAAATATTCAGCCTAAGAAAGCGAAGATTATTAAAATTCAATCACCAAATGCTTACTTAACATTGTTTTCTTTTCCTAGTCATCAGTGTGTGTATATGTGTTTTTTTTTTTCTCTTTTCAATAGTTCATCTCACTGGTATGACTAAACTTTAAGACAGGTCCACATTATGAATTGAACCAGTTATTTAATGTTTATATTGAAATACGCCCACAGTTCTCTTAATATTTCATACCCATTTTGCTTTCCCTTTCGTTCCCTTGAGATCAATCCTACGAAGAATGCCCAAGCCCGTTTCAGTTGATTCAGATGGAGGAAGGAGTTACTGAAACAGTTGTTAAAGTTCTGTTCTACTTCCAACTTGAAAGATTCAGTACTAAATGTGACAGTGTCTGTTATTTGAGGCTGCTAGACTAATGCAAGAACACAGTTCCTTTTCCATAAGCTAACTACTGCCCTACAGTAACCTTCAGTTTCTGGCAGCATGGTCTAGATTTGAACCAATGACCTTGATAAAAGGCACTAGATAACATGGCTAGTCCCCATGCTCTCACAGTTCCCTTACTTAAGCAATTAAAGCCCATATCAGTATGCTTAGTAACTCCATTTGAGATAGAGGCTCAAATAAGGGCTTTTTAAAGAGCTAGTTACAAGTTTTGAACCAAAGAGTTTAAGAATTATAATTTGTCTAGTTTTTCCTTATTAAGAAAATGTTCTGCATCCTACTTTGGTGAATGGCGTCTGGGGTCTTAAAAGCTTGCAAGCCACCATCTAAGATGCATCAATTGGTCCCAACCACTTGGAGTAAAGGAGAACAAAGAACACCAAAGACACAAGGAAAATATTGGCCCAAGAGACAGAGCGGGCCACATAAACCAGAGACTTCATCAGCCTGAGACCAGAAGAACTAGATGGTGCCCAGCTACCACCAATGAACGTCCTGACAGGGAACACAACAGAGGCTCCCCGATGGAGCAGTAGAACGATGGGATGCAGAACTCAAATACTAGTAAGAAGACCAGACTTAATGGTCTGACTAAGACTGGAGGCGCCCCGGAAAGCATGGCCCCTGGTCTCTCCATCACCCCAGAACTAAAACAATTTCCGAGGCCAACTCTCCAGACAGGGATTGGACTGGACTATGGGACATAAAGTGATACTCGTGAAGAATGTGCCTCTTAGACAAGTACATATAAGAGACCAAAGGGGCAGCTTCTGTCCAAAGGTTAGAGGGGAAGGCAGAGAGAGTTAGGAGCTGGTTGAATGTTCACGGGGAATCGGGCGGAGGGGAGAAGTGTGCTGTTGCAGAATGGGGTGAGCGGTTGGGGTCTCATAACAATTTATGTTAAAAAAAAAAAAAAATTCTGTATGGGAGAGTAACTTGAAATGTAAACTTCATTTAATTACATCAATTAAAAAAAATTATAATTTGTCTAGATTTTAATAGTTGGAAACAGTCTCTGTTTTCCCTGAAATCTGTCTCCACTTTATACCTTTCTTATAAGCCACGGCCATATTCCACCTTATGCCATTCTTGTTTGTCTTACCTCTGTTTCACTAGAGCGAAGATTGTGACACGGTCGTCTCCATATACCCTACAATATCTGGTATAGTAATTCTGTGCAGAATAGGTTATTAATGTCTGTTAATCGTATGAATGAAATTTATTTTTTTATAGTAAAAAATATTACAATTTGTTAAGAAAGCTTTTAGAGACTTTTTCTCCCTAAAAATTGAAATCAAAGAATTAACTTTTTAGAAATGGTTTATTTACAAGTTTTATATTTGAATACAGGGCAGAATCTAGACAATATGCTCCATGGTACAGGAATGAAATCAGACTCCAACCAGAAAAAGTCAGAAAATGGAGTAACCTTAGCACCAGAGGATACCTTGCCTTTTCTAAAGTGCTACTGCTCAGGACATTGCCCAGATGATGCTATTAATAACACATGCATGTAAGTATTTTATGCAGTCATTCTTAAGAGTTACGAGAATAGAGTTGCATTTAATGCTATTTTAACAATTGTTTGTACTGTCTTTTTTTTTTTTTTCCCTTCATATGGTATCTTTCCAAAGAGCAAGAAGCTGCTTATTTTGTGTACAGGAACATTTGTTGCTATTAAGTGATTTAAAATTACTTTATTAGAGTAACAGTATAATAGAGCTTTTTTAGAGGAGATAAAAAAAATCTAGTATTTGTCTAACATTTTGAGTTTATTGAACAAACTTTTATCATAAAATTTTTGATGCTCATTGTAGAAAAGTTAGAAATTACCAAACAAATAAAATAACAATTTGTTCACAAACTGAAATATTTTACAGGTACATAAGAATGATATTGTGATATTTAATTTCGTAATTTTATGCTTTTTTTCTTACAACATAAGAACTTCCCTCACCCACAGTTCAAATCTGATTTACATAACCATTTTTATTTTCCTACTTAATTTTATGTTAACTATTCAGTCCTTTTACATACAATCATGTGATTCTGTTTCATATTCTTTGGAACATTACTTAACTAGCCAGAAGTTTCTGTGAATAGCTCAGTCTTATCAATTAATTGTCTCACCTGTTAAAAGGTAATAATTAATGTCATATTTTGTACTGTCCTGATAATTTTATGTTCTTTGGAGGTTACCTGATTTAAAGCATAAAATTATACGTGTAAAATCTTGAAATTATTTGATTGTCAGTAGCATCTTAGGTTTGTTATTTGTCCTCTGGTGGTGGTTGACTTGACAGTGGAAGACTATGGGGCAGTGCTCAGTTTATGCCTTCCTAGGAGTTTTGTCTGTAGGTTTGTGTTTCCCATTATGTTGCTGTATGAATAGCTCGAAGAATCAACACAAAGCCAATTCTTAACAAGAAGGAGTCAAATATATCCCAGATTTTCACGTTCTAGCTGAAAGACCTCTGGGAGTAGTTTCAGTTCAGCATTTAAAGAATATCTTAGGGCAGTGGCCTCGGGGGTCCTCTAATCTCCACTGATCTAGTAGGTCTGGCCTTTTTTAAAAAGAAGTTGAGTTTTGTTCTACAATTTTCTCCCGTTCTATCCAGGACCATCTGTTGTGTCCCTGGTCATAATGATCAGTAGTGGTAGCTGGACACCATTTAGTTCTTCTGGTCTCGGGATAGATGAAGCTGTGGTTCGTGTAGTTCTTGTAAAATGGTAGTGGTAATAGTAGTAGTAGCAGCATCCAAATCTGTCTAACTTCAGGAGGGAGAATGTGAATCAAGATTAGCCCAAGGCTGATCCCTGTGAGGTGAAGGTCAGACATTCCTCCTCCCTCCAACCTTTTTACCAATCCTGACACCCGCTGTCCCTCTCACAGCACTCTCTACTTCTCTTCTGGCCACACAGAACTCACAAACCATACTTACAATTAAGTGGTTCCTTCTCAGATTCTTGATTGGGTTTCTTTCTTTCTCTTTTATTCCAAATAAATAAAGACCAATAGTTGTATTTTAGATGGCCGCTCGTAAGCTTCTAAGACCCCAGATACTACTTACAATACTGGTAGGTAGAACATAAGCTTCAGGAGCTATAGTATGCCAATTGACTGGATTGCCCCCACGAGACCATGGCCCTAAACCCCAACCCAAAAGAACCAATCTCATGAGATGATTGGTTATGTCTAATTAGTATCAGCACCTGTAGCCACCCTCCCCCTTTTTTGATTGTTGTTATTGTTGCAAAACCGAACACAACTTAGCATTTGCCTTTTCTCTGTGTACAGTTTGTTGACATTAGTTACACTGGTCATGCTGTGCAAACTTCACTCGCATTTGGTGCCACCTTTCCCACTGCTGTGAACAAGAAGTGGTACTACCTAAGGAGTACTTCTCCCTCTTCCTCCCCACCCTCCCCCCAATCACTGATGAACATTAGTTTCTGTATATTTGCCTATTTATGTTATTTCATAAAAGTGAGAACGTACAATATTTGTTTTTTGTGATGACTTATTTCGCTCAACATAATCCCCTCAAGGTTCATCCACATTGTAACATGTTTGGCGAACTCATTTTCTTGGTCACTGAGTAGTTCATTGTATGTATGCACTACATTTTACTTATCCATTCATCGTTTCAATGGGCAGTTAGGTTGTTTTTTCATCTTTTCGTTATTGTGAATAGTGCTGCAATAAACACAGGTGTGTGTATGTCTGTTTGTGTCACAGCTATTAGATTCCTAGGGTATATACCTAGGAGTGGAATTGCTGGGTCATATGGTAGCTCTACATCTAGTTTTTCTGAGGAACCACCAAATTGTTTTCTACGACAGTTGTACCATTTTGCATTCCCACTGGCAATGGGTGAGGGTTTCAGTTTCTCCACATCCCCTCCAACACTTGTTATTTTCCATTTTTCTTCTTTTTTTAATCTTGGCCATCCTAGTGGAAGTGAAGTGGTATCTCATTGTGGTTTTGATTTGCATCTCTCTGATGGCTAATGACATTGAATATCTTTTCATATGTTTGTTGGCCATTTGAATATCCTCTTTCATAAAGTGTCTGTTCATGCCCTTTGCCCGTTTTTCCATTGAGTTATTTGTCTTTTTGTTGTTAAGTTGTACCAAGTGTTCTGTATATTTTAGCTATTAGACCTTTATTGGTTATATCATTCCCAAAGATTTTTTTCCAGTCTGTAGGTTGTATCTTTATTCTTTTGATAAAGTCTTTGGTTGAACATAAGTATTTAACTTTTACAAGGTCCCAGTTATCTATTTTGTTTTCTTCACCCGTGCGTTCTTGTTGCATTTGGTAATCTGTCATTGAAAAAATTAGGTTCCAAAGTTTTGCTACTATATTTTCTTCTGAGAACTTTCTGGTTTTAAATTTAACATTTAGGTCCTTGACCCATTTTGAATTAGTTTTTGTGTATGCCATGAAGTATGGGTCTTGCTTCCTTATCCTCATGTGGAAATCCAGTTCTGCCAGCACCATTTGTTGAAGAGACTGCTTCTTCCCCCAATGAATGGATTTGGCTCCCTTGTCAAAAATCAATTGACCATTAAACTGATTTATTAACCATTAAAATCGTAACTGAATGTGTAAATATACTTACGTAAATTTCTTGAAAATAATTGATTCAGAAGCTTTATGTCTCTCTTGCTCTTTTTTTTCCCCCCGTTACCTTCAGTAAAATATGCCTCTCAGGATGTTGGTCAGTCTGTTCTTCTAAAATACAGTTTTCTTTGTCCTTGAGTTTGTATGTTTCACAGAAAAGTTCATTTTAATTTTTATCATGTATACCTTGTGGTACGGTGGGGGCTTGCTTGTTGCTGTGGTGCTGGAAGCTATCCCAGATATCAGCAGGATCAGCCATGGTGGACAGGTTTCAGCTGAGCTTCCAGACTAAGGCAGACTAGGAAGAAGGACCCAGCAGTCTACTTCTGAAAAGAATTAGACAGTGAAAATCTTATGAATAGCAGCGGAACATTGTCTGATACAGTGCTGGAAGATGAGCCCCCCAGGTTGGAAGGCGTACAAAAGACAACTGTGGATGAGCTCCTTCCTTAGAGTAGAGTCAGCCTTATTAATGACATGGATGGAGTCAAGCTTTCGGGACCTTCATTTGCTGATGTGGCATGACTCAAAATGAGAAGAAACAGTTGCAAACATCCATTAATAATTGGAATGTGGAATGTATGAAGTATGAATCTAGGAAAATTGGAAATCATCAATAATTAAATGGACTGCATAAACATGAATATCCTAGGCATTAGTGAGCTGAAACGGACTGGTATTGGCCAGTTTGAATCAGACAGTCATATGGTCTACTATGCCAGGAATAACAACTTGAAGAGGAGTGGCATTGCATTCATCGTCAGAAAGAACATTTCAAGATCTATCCTGAAGTACAATGCTGTCAGTGATAGGATAGTATCCATACACCTACAAGAAAGGCCAGTTAATACAACTGTTGTTCAAATTTACACACCAACCACTAAGGCCAAAGATGAAGAAATTGAAGATTTTTACCAGCTTCTGCAGTCTGAAATTGATCAAACGTGCAGTCAGGATGCATTGATAATTACTGGTGATTGGAACGCGTAAGTTGCAAATAAAGAAGGATCAGTAGTTGGAAAACATGGCCTTGGTGATGGAAACGATGCCAGAGATTGCATGGTAGAATTTTGCAAGACCAACGACTTCTTCGTTGCAAATACCTTTTTTCACCAACATAAACGGTACTATACACATGGACCTTGCCAGAGGAAAAACACAGGAATCAAATTGACTACATTTGTGGAAAGAGATGATGGAAAAGCTCAATATCATCAGTCAGAACAAGGCCAGGGGCTGACGATGGAACAGATCATCAGTTGCACATATGCAAGTTCAAGTTGAAACTGAAGAAAATTAGAACAAGTCCACAAGAGCTAAAGTACGACCTTGAGTATATCGCACCTGCATTTAGAGACCATCTCAAGAATAGATTTGACGCATTGAACACTAATGACCATAGACCAGATGAGTTGTGGAAGGACATCATACGTGAAGAAAGCAAGAGGTCATTAAAAAGACAGGAAAGAAAGAAAAGACCAAAGTGGATGTCAGAAAAGACTCTGAAACTTGTTCTTGAACGTCTGCTAGCTAAAGCAAAAGGAAGAAATGATGAAGTAAAAGAACTCAACAGAGATTTCAAAGGGTGGCTTGAGAAGACAAAGTAAATTATTATAATGATACTTTCAAAGAGTTGGAGATAGAAAACCAAAAGGGAGAAACATGCTTGGCATTTCTCAAGCTGAAAGAACTGAAGAAAAAATTCAAGCCTTGAGTTGCAATAGTGAAGGATTCTATGGGGAAAATATTAAATGATGCAGGAGGCATCAAAAGAAGATGGAAGGAATACAGAGTCATATACCAAAAAGAATTGGTTGACGCTCAACCATTTCAAGAGGTAGCATATGATCAGGAACCAGTGGTACTGAAGGAGGAAGTCCAAGCTGTGCTGAAGACATTGGCGAAAAACAAGTCTCCAGGAACTTACGGAATATCAATTGAGATGTTTCAGCAAACAGATGCAGTACTGGAAATGCTTACTCATCTATGCCAAGAAATTCGGAAGACAGCTACCTGGCCAACTGACTGGAAGAGATCCACATTCATGCCTATTCCCAAGAAAGGTGATCCAACCAAATGTGGAAATTATCGAACAATATCATTAATATCACACACAGGTAAAATTTTGCTGAAGATCATTCAAAAGCAGCTGCAGCAGTATATCGACAGGGAACTGCCAGAAATTCAGGCCAGGTTTAGAAGAGGACATGGAACCAGGGATATCATTGCTGATGTCAGATGGATCCTGGCTAAAAGCAGAGGATACCAGAAAGATATTTACCTGTGTTTTATTGACTATGGAAAGGCATTCGACTGTGTGGATCATAACAAATTATGGATAACATTGTGGAGAACTGGAATTCCAGACCACTTGATTGTGCTCATGAGGAACCTGTACATAGATCAAGAGGCAGTTGTTCGGACAGAGCTAGGGGATACTGCGTGGTTCAAAGTCAGGAAAGGTGTGTGTCAGCGTTGTGTCCTTTCACCATACCTGTTCAATCTGTATGCAGAGCAAATAATCTGAGAAGCTGGACTGTATGAAGAAGAACAGGGCATCAGGATTGGAGGAAGATTCATTAACAACCTGCATTATGCAGATGATACAACTTTGCTTGCTGAAAGTGAAGAGGACTTGAAACACTCACTGATGAAGATCAAAGACCACAGCCTTCAGTATGGATTATACCTCAACATAAAGAAAACAAAAATCCTCACAACTGGACCAATAAGCAACATCATGATAAACAGAGAAAATATTGAAGTTGTCAAGGATTTCATTTTACTGGGATCCACAATCAACACCCATGGAATCAGCAGTCAAGAAATCAAAAGATGCATTGCATTGGGCAGATCAGCTGCAAAAGACCTCTTTAAAGTGTTGAAAAGCAAAGATGTCACCTTGAAGACTAAGGTGCGCCTGACCCAAGCCATGGTATTTTCAGTTGCGTCATATGCGCGCAAAAGCTGAATAGTGAATAATGAAAACCGAAGAAGAATTGATGCCTTTGAATTGTGGTGTTGGCAAAGAATATTGAATATACCATGACTGCCAAAAGAATGAACAAATCTGTCTTGGAAGAAGTACAACCAGAATGCTCCTTAGTAGCAAGGATGGCTAGACTACATCTTCTGTACTTCGGACGTGTTGTCAGGATGAATCAGTCCCTGGGGAAGGACATCATGCTTGGTAAAGTAGAGGGTCAGTGAAAAAGAGGAAGACCCTCAACAAGGCGAATTGACACAGTGGCTGCAACAGTGGGCTCAAGCCTAACAATGATTGTGAGCATGGCGCAGGACCAGGCAGTATTTTGTTCTGTGGTACATAGGGTCACTATGTGTCGGAACCAACTCGACAGCACCCAGCAACAACAACAACGTAGTGTATGAATGTAGCTCTGGTGGCACAGTGGTTAAGAGCTTGGCTGCTAACCAAAAGGTCAGCAGTTTGAATCCATCAGCCGTTCCTTGGAAACCCTAGGAGACAGTTCTCCTCTGTCCTGTAGGGTCACAATGAGTCGTAATCGACTCGACGGCAACAGGTTTTGTTTTGTTTTTGGTATGGTATATGAATAGTTGAAATCTTAGGGAGGAGAGACAGTTATTTTTAAGTATATATTTAACACATTAAGATCATATAATTTATAAAATTTTATCCATCAGCTTTCTGTGATCACGTGACTGATTAGCAAAGAAAAGTTACTTAATCATATTTGGAGGCTTTGTTTATTAGAAATCCATTTCCTTCTGACATAGGGTTCACATTGGCCTGACCAGCTTTCATTTACCTTAAAACCTACTTGGTTTTCCCAGTAAATTTTCACATAAATACAATTCTTAATTCAGAACACATGGTTGTATTCAAACTCAGACTTAACTAGTACTTTCTGATGTAAAATTGTGCTTTTTTTTCCTTCTAGAACTAATGGACATTGTTTTGCCATCATAGAAGAAGATGACCAGGGAGAAACCACGTTAGCTTCTGGGTGTATGAAATATGAAGGATCTGATTTTCAGTGCAAGGTAAGATCTAATTTGGGACCCACAAAGAAGAGAGGGGCAACATAAGAAAAAACATGGATTTTCCCTAGGACAAATGTGCTGATTTGCACATTGCTGTTTGTTCATGTGAGCAAATGTATTGGAGCAAGTTTAGCTCTTACTTTAAGTAATACGATTATGGCAGTTGACGTTCCAGATTATTTTACTTTTAAGAACATTTTAAATTAGTTCTGTTTCTGTGTTGCCATGACTGCAAAAATGATACCATCACACTTATTTCTGGATTATAAAGTTTATTGAAAAGACTAAGGTGATTGTCACTCTGAGACAACTTATTAGGACACGTTAATGGAGCTGTTTTAACAGCAGCAGTAAAGGAATCAGGATCAGTGATAGGAGTTCATGAACATCCAGATGGCTCTGGGTTACAAACCTAACCATCAAAAATCTATATAGAAATTATGTATAATAATTTTGCCCCAAGGGATCCTTCCAGTGGTTTTGAAGAACAACTCCAGATAGATTGGTGGTAAGCAATTTGAAGCCTCAGCTATGTTAGAAAATTACTTGGAATTTCTCACGAGTGATAGAAACCTTAAAGTTTATATGTCTCTGCCTCTCATTTAATGCTTGAAGTGTCCCCCACCTATGTAAGCCCCTGCCCCACGCACAGAGTACCCACCTATTCTCCACATGCTACGTGCACCTCTAGTGGCAGGAGCTCATTGCCTTCCTGTAACCTGCTGCTGTTGAGTCGATTCCAGCTCACTGCAATCCTATAGGGCAGAATAGAACTGCCCCCAGAGGGTTTCCAAGGCTTTAATCCTTACAGGCTGCCACATCTGTCTCCCGTGGAGCAGCTGGTGGATTCAAACTGCTGACTTTTCAGTTAGCAGCCGAGCACTTCACCACTGCACCGCCAAGCTCTTTCCATTCCCTCTAAGACTACCTATTTCATCTGTAATGACCTCACCTGACCCTTAGGAAGTTTTTTCTTCAGTGGCTGCAAATCTATCTTCCTGTCTCCATCTTTGGACCATAGAGGACCAATCTAATTCCTCTCAATATAATAACACTTTACTATGTACAGACAGTTTTGTTTTTGTTTTTTGTCTTTGTTTACCTCCCCACACCCTCTAGTCTTTGCCAAATGAAAATAATAGTTCACAGTGACTTCAGCTCTTCCTCATATGATTAGTGTTAGAGTTCTTTACAACTCTCTAGTTTTTCAGTGCAGTATGCAGAATTGAGTGTGGCCTGACCAGGAAAAAAAAAAAAAAAAAAAACAGATTAAGTAGCCCCTTTCCCTCTCTCTTTCTCTTTTAAGTATAGCCAAATCCCATGTTAAGTGTTTGGCAGTCACCTCATATTCTGGAGACATACTGAGTTTTTGTCAGCTAACATCCCCTTGTCTTTCACTTATTCTACTACTGAGCCACATTTCCACACTTCATCAGTGCTGCCAGTTTCTGGGCACAAATAAATACAGGTATGCGTTGCTTAACTTCCATGATATATTCTCTGAAATAGGACATCATGTGATTTGGATGTTGTGCGAACAACATACTATATACACGAGAGAGGCTTGCAGGATGGTCGCTGGGCGGGCCGAAGACCTGCACCGCTGCTGTTCCACTGAGGGACTGTGCAAAAACTTTGGCTCCACCACTGCCAGTCCTGCATGGTTGCTGCCTGATCTCAGAGAGCCACGGCTGGCCCCCACAGCAGCAGACACTCGCTGTCCAGCCAGCCGCCTGCGGGCGCACCACTGGTTCCCTTCCCTTCCTTCCTCCCTGCCTTCCTTCCCTCCTCCCTCAATGGGCTTTAAAAATCTTCCAGCCCCATCCACCCTTCCTCTGCCTCCTTCCCCAGCCACCTTTCCTGCTCCTCCTCCGGATACTGCCACAGCCTGGACCACTCAGCAGCCACCACCATGGGAGGAGCTGGAGTCTTGGGTCCAGCCAGGATGCACAGGGATCCCTGGCTGAGCAGGGCACCTGCCTAGCAGGGCATGCCACTCAGTGGCTCCGGCAGCATCTGTGCAGTCCCTGCCTGAGGCAAGCACAGTGGGACAGGCAGTCAAGATTGGGCAGCAGGACCCCCTGCCCCTACCGCCCAGGGCCAGGGCTGTCACAAGATCCTGAGAGCTAGTGAGAGACAAGATCTACAGCACTTAGCAAAGTATGTTTGCTATGTCCCATTCTCCAGTCGGAATTTCTGAACTCTATTATAACCTTATAGGACCACGGACATACATGCATTTGGACGTTGTCTAAACACATTATATAGCATATACCTGTAAATAAGAGTAAAAGGAGTTTTGTTATATAATTGTCACTTATCTTTGTTAAATTTCATCGTATAAGAATTAGTCCATGGGGACCATGGTCTCGGGACATCTAGGTCAATTGGCATAACATAGTTCATAAAGAAAATGCTGTACATCCTACTTTGGTGAATAGCCTCTAGGGTCTTTAAAGCTTGCGAGCGGCCATCTAAGATACATGTATTGCTCCCATCCTGTCTGGAGCAAAGGAGAATGAAGAAAACCAAAGAGCAAGGAAAATATTAGTCCAGAGGACTAATGGGCCACATAAACCATAGCTTCCACTAGCCTGAGCCCAGAAGAACTAGATGGTGCCGGGCTACCACCACCGACCGCTCTGAGAGGGATCACAATCGAGGGTCACAGAGAGAGCGAGAGAAAAATGTAGAGCAAAATTCAGATTCACCAAAATAGACCAGAGTTACTGGTCTGACAGAGACTGGAGGAACCCCTGAGACTATGGCTCCCAGACACCCTGCCAGCTCAGAACTGAAGCCACTCCTGAAGTCCACCTTTCAGCCAAAGATTAGACAGGCATATGAAACAGATGGTAACACATGTAAGGAACGTGCTTCTTAGTTCAATCAAGTATACAAGAGCAAGTGGGCAACACCTGCCCAAAACCAAACACAAGAAGGCAGGAAGGGACAGGAAAACTGGACACGGAGATTGACACAGAGAACCCAGAGTAGAAAGCGAGGGAAAGGAAGAAAGTGTTGACACATTGCCAGGATGGCAATCAATGTCACAAAACAATTTGTGTATAAATTTTTGAATGAAAAACTAATTCGTGCCGTAAACTTTCACCTAAAACACAATAAAATTTTTGAAAAACTGAAAAAAAAAGAAAGAATTTATTCCTTTGCTCTGATTTGGCAGGATATTTTGGGACACTAATTTAGTTACTTCCAGTTAATTCCATTTGCATATTTATCAAGCACATTTTTATACATTTTTAAATCATTTATAAACGTATTGAAGAAAACGATATGGCGAGAGCTCTGAGCTCAGCTGTAATAACCAGTACCCTGCAGGCCCCCTAAACTAGATGCATCTCAAAGCAATATAGTTTTAATTGTTAAGCTTGAGAATCCGTGTTTAAGTCCATATGCCACCTTTTACTGTCCGTGAAACATTGGCAAGAAGCTTTACTCGTCTAAGTTGTTTTCTCATCCATAAAGGAGTTCTTCTAAGGATTAAATGAGATATCATAAAGAGTTGAACAGTATTGACACACAATAAATGTTGTTAGGTGCCGTTGAGTCATTTCCGACTCTCAGTGACCCTGTGTACAGCAGAATGAAACACTGGTTGGTCCTGCGCCATCCTCACAATTGTTATGTTTGAGTCCGTTGTTGTAGCCACTGTGTCAGTCCATCTCATTGAAGGTCATCCACTTTTTCATTGACCCTCTACTTTACCAACCATGATACCCTTCTTCAGGGACTGGTTCCTCCTGATAACGTGCAAAGTACGAGAGATGAAGTCTCGCCATCTTCGCTTCTAAAGTATTCTGGCTGTACTTCTTCCAAGACAGATATTCTTCACTGTCACCATAATTCAAAGGCATCAGTTCTTCTTCTGCCTTCCTTATTCATTGTCCATGCATATGAGGCAATGGAAAATACCATGGCTTGGGTCAGGTGCACCTTAGTCCTTCAAGTGACATCTTTGCTTTTTAACACTTTAAAGAGGTCTTTTTTGCAGCAGTTTTTCCCAGTGTAATGTGTTGTTTGATTTCTTGACTGTTGCTTCTATGAGCATTGATTGTGGATCTAAGTAAAATGAAATTAATGACAAGTTAAATCTTTTCTCCATTTATCTGATATTGCTTATTGGTCCATTTGTGAGGATTTTCTTTATGTTGAGGTGTAATCTGTACTGAAGGCCGTAGTCTTTGATCTTCATCAGTAACTGCTTCAAGTCCTCTTCACTTTCAATAAGCAAGGTTGTTTCATCTGCATATCGCAGGTTGTTAATGAGTCTTCCTTCCATCCTGATGCCACGTTTTTCTTCATATAGTCCAGCTTCTCAGATAATTTGCTCAGCATACAGATTGAATAAGTATGGTGAAAGGATATAACCGGGATGCACACCTTTCCTGATTTTAAACCACTCAGTATTCTGTTGTTCTTTTCAAATGCCTGCCTCTCATGGTCTGTGTACAGATTCCTCATGAACACGATTAAATATTCTGGAATTCCCATTCTTTGCAGTGTTATCCATAGTTTGTTATGATCCACACAGTCAAATGCCTTTGCATAGTTAATAAAAAACAGGTAAACATCTTTGTGGTATTTTCTGCTTTCAGCCATGATCTGTCTGACATCAGCAGTGATATTTCTCATTCTACATCCTCTTCTGAATCTGGCCTGAATTTCTGGCAGTTCCCTGTCAATGTACTGCTACAACTATTTTTGAATTACCCTCAGCAAAATTTTACTTGTATGTAATTTTACTTGTATGTGATAATAATGATATGTTCAGTAATTTCCACATTTTGTTGGATCACCTGTTTTTGGAATGGGTACAAGTGTGGATATCCCCCACTCGGTTGGCCAGGTAGCTGTCTTCCAAATTTCTTGGCATTGTTCAGCGTTAACACCCACATTACGTTATAAAATTTACTTTATCTTCTCGAACTGCCCTTTGAAACCTTCTGTTCAGCTCTTTTACTTCATTTCTTCCTTTTACT